GGCAACTGGCTGAGTCAGTGGGATCGTCGGTTCGAATCCTACTGAAAGAAGTCTGATGAGGAAATGTGGTGATTTCCGAAATAGCTATCACTTCTACCATTTTTTCAAATTGTTGTTGCTTTTCCACAATAAATTTTTCATTTAAATGGCCTCGAGCTCATTATAAAATTGTTTAATAAAACATGCATATATTTAAGTTTTTGATTTTACGATTTTTCAAATTTCAAAATTCTATAATTTCTTTAAATTTTCGATTTTTTCAATTTATTTTTATTACGTAACCCAAATGTAACCTTTAAAACGCGAACAAAACCATTTTTGTAACAATAATCGTTTTTGAGGCATTACAAAAATAATCTAGCAAATACGACAAAATTGAAATTTTGAACTTTCGAAAAAAAAAATGTTTGTAGAACTTTGTTATGTGATAAAAAATGCTGACCGAAATTTATCGAAATCTAAAATGGTCGAATCATTGCATAATGGTAGGGATGGGCCCCGTCCCGGTTTTTTTTATTGATTACGGTGTTTAATTCAGGTTATAAACCGTTTAAAAAAACTGCATTAAAAACCTTATATGTATTTTCGGTTTACCGAAAAAAACCCGATTTACAAAATACACTGCAAAAAAAAGTCGATATCAAATTAAATTTAATTTTCACTTACACTTACTAATTACTGCTGTGCAAATTAATTAAAACAATATATTTTCTTAATTTTATATAACAACTTCATTTCCAAATATATGAAATATAATAAAGGGCATATTTGTGCAAAAACAAACTTCATTTCACAAAAAAAAACTTTTTTAATTTATAAATAAATACATATCGCTCATTTACTTCAATAGTGTCATAATTCAAAAAAGCAAAACTCGAGAAAAACGGATTTAAACTTAAAAGTTTCATACGTATACTCCCATAGTAAAAATTAAAGCATATTTTGTTCTAGTGAGCTACGGTTATTCTATACAGCTGTGAAATGTTTGCACAACATAGAAGAAAAGGTAGCGGTATGTTCTGCATACTCAACTCAAAATTTGCATTAAGGCACTATTGAAGTAAATGAGCGATGTGTATATAATTGCCTTTGTATTAGATATGTATGTGGTAATATATAATATACTAACTTCAAAAGTGAGTGTACACTGATTGTTNATTTGCATTAAGGCACTATTGAAGTAAATGAGCGATGTGTATATAATTGCATTTGTATTAGATATGTATGTGGTAATATATAATATACTAACTTCAAAAGTGAGTGTACACTGATTGTTTTTTTTTTAATATTTCCAATGTTTTTCATGGTAAATACGTTTTGTTAATATTTTATTAAAATGCTGGTTATGTTTTAACAAGCAAATATAATTCCAAATTTCAAACTTTGTACGAAATTTCAATACTCACAATCGACTTCACAATCGATTATACTTAGCCACTAGATCAGCAAATAAAAATTGAGTAGTTAATTTGAAGTTTGTGGTACGCCGTAAAATTTTATTCTTATCTCGACGAATTGCAAAATAACACTGGATCACAAATTTTAGTTTGGTTTTATTGTTCTCCGGACGCCACTATCGAATTTCTATGTAGAATTGCTCGGTGATTCCGAAAATCGAGTTAACATTTTTTTCTATGGATACGTTTTCGAGATATTTGCAATTTACCGTTATTCCGCTTAAAAAGGAGTGATTTTGCTTAATCAAGTATATCTTACGAACTAATTTAGTAATCTTAATACAAAATAAAGCTAATAAAATTCTCCATAAATCATGTATACATCACTTTCCGATAGGACAGATAGGACATTCTCTAAGGGTACCTTCACACAGAAAGCGGATCCGAGCCGAGCAAGGCCGTTCCGAGCTGAAAGAAGCTTTCAAATTGCTGTAGCTATATGAGAGTGTTCATACAGCAAGCTTTTCCATAAGCGTTTTGGAGCAGAAAGCAAATAAGTTTTTGATTTGGAATTTTCTATTTAATTTTTCAGCTTCACGACGCTGCTGCAAACAAAATAGCAAAATATTCAAATTAAAACGAATTTACGACTAATCTTTTGAATAAAATTGAGCAAATATTTTTGCAAACTTTCATTGACGGTAAGTTTTTTGGTACCTTTGCAGCCGAGTCCGTGAGAAAAGCTCCGCTCCGCTTCGCTTCGTTCAGTATGAACACCAGCAGCTTCGCTTTGTTCCGCCTTGTTTCGCTCGGCGCCGCTCGACTTTCTGTGTGAACGCGCCGTAAGGAAAAAGGCCATTATTCAAAAAGTGCATGAAAGAGCAACATGATTCTCAGCACGCCCACTCTAAATTAAACATTTTTAAAACTAGAAAGCTTGAAGACCACCCAACAAAACCAATTTTTTATGGGGGGACCTATACAAAATATTTAGTATTGTAAAATGGTTAAATAAACAATTGGGTATTATTGCTGAAAGTCTCCTGAAGAGAAACAGAGTTTTTCGATCGATAATTAGTGATTTACAGGAATTCTATACCATTTCTACGAAGCAGTTTGAGACATATTTTTTGTTTCGACAAAAAATACGGATATTGTTTTTTTTTCATTTAGAAAAGTCCTAGGGGGTGAGAGCTTAACATTTAAAAAAATTTCCCCCTTTGATATTTTGGACCACCCTAATGTACATCCTAACGTAGATTTACAAAAAGCAGCTATAGAAAAAACATTCAACAAGTTATCGGCTGCATGGTAATACATATTACCAGTTACAATTAAACTATATACATGCATACATATACATTTATATACATAACACAGGCATGCAAAAATTTATTTTTTCCCTTCCAATAATTATGTTATTTTTTCAGTATAATTAAATTAAAATAAGCATATTTTAGAAGAAAAATATTAATGAACTAAAAAAATCTTAAAAGACAACAGCGACTAAAAGACTAAGAAAATCTGGATGGAAAAAAAAAGTAATTTTCTCGGTAAATTTATGTGACTTTTTTTATTATTTTTTTCGTAGCTTAGTACCTAGTACCTACCTAAATTGCTTATTGGTTTGTTAAGGGAAAACTATCGCAAGCCTGTATAACTAGTCTAACAAGGAGTCATTAAACTTTTAAAACAAGTAAATTATATACATACTTATTATTACGATAACATTTTGAACTGCTGCTGATGAAGTACATCCATCCACACATATATTCATATATTAATATATGTAAGTAGTTGCATAGCTACGCCCACAGTTTTCGATTTATTTTACACTCGTCAGAATTAGTGTACTCATATAGGTAGTATCATTGTGAGGCATATACAAACTGTGTAAAAAATATAAAGTTTACATAAACAAATATGTAAGTAGATAACTATATAGTTTGCAATTATTTTTATTGAATTTGGATTTCGCACTTACCAATTACGGAGCCAGCGAAGAAGCTAAATGTGAAATTGCAGTAAGAGGCTAATAACGCACCGATAACATTGCTACCAAAGATGCTCCCAGCACGCCCAAGCATGAAACAAATGCAAACAGCTTTGCCACTGTAGAATAACGGTATTACTTTTGGTTCCAATTTGATTGCTAGTAATTATTTATTTGAATATTTAAATACCGCAAATGTGTAGGAACCAGACCAACCACTGCGCTGCCCAATAGCGATATGCAGATACCTGGCATAGTGACAAATAGAATAAAGCATATGACGATCGCCATTGGATTAACCAACACTAGCATAAGAACGCAGCATACGGCACTCAGAAGTAAGGATCCAATAATTGTAGCTTTGCGTCCAAATATATTTATTACCGGGCCTAACAATGCATAGCCCACCACAAAGCATAGTCCAAGACAAATCGAATCAATATAACTTTTGTCGCTGATGTGATCGCTGCAGGACTATGTATAAAAGGAACAGTCAAATGAAAAGTTATACAGTGACTCAAATAAATGAATACGTCTTGATTTATTGTATTTTGTGCATGTATTTTTTATAATTACGTGTTGATTTTTTTAATATTCGTAATGTTTTCGAGCTAATTTTTTGTTGTTATTTTCTTTAAAAATACCGTCCATCCTTTAGCCAAAACCATATAAATCACAGTTTTAAACTTTATACAAAGCTAGGAGACCTGGCGAACTTCGTTCCGCTCAAAATTAATTTTTGTATGAAGCAGTTTGTTCTAACATTTTCACCAACAATTCGCGTTCCCGATTTATCTGCTAATATTATGGTTTGGTGGTCGTCGGAAGGCATGCTTCCAAGGCCGTCTTAATTGTATATACTTATAACAGTGGTTAACGCTTCTGACTTTGAACATCGAATACGCAGGTTCGATCCCTGCTGAAGTCTAGAAAAAAGAAGTCTGATGAGGAGATGTGGTGATCTCCGAAATAGTGCTATAACTTCTACCGCTTAGACTTTGTTGCTTTTTCATTTTTCCTAATAAACAATCGTGGTACAAAGCTCAATAAAAATATTAAAAATAAAAATGTTAACAAGCCACAATAAAATTGACAAATAGCCCAACGTAAGTTGTACGTCCGCGAAGAAGTTCTTGGAATTTTTTCCGAATGATCTGGCTTTTCATGACACGGTTTATTGAATAACGAAATAAATTTAAAGATGTTTTTCCTCTTTAAATTTCTTATGAACTAAATGCGGAAGACCGTTAGCAACAAAATTTCAAAAAAAATCAACGCCAATTTCTGTAAATTGCCCTTGTCATAGGAAAAATCCACTTGCCCTTTATTAGACTTAAATTTTATGGGCTAAAAAACTGCATGTTCTAAACATTCAGATTAAAAAGTCGAAATTTTGATGAAGATTTTTTTAATTTTTCTAAATTTTTTATGAAGTTTGACACTACGATTTTTATGTTTTTTCTTAAAGCATGGACGATGTTTTCATAGAAAAAATAATAATTAGCTCAAAAAACCTTACGAATATTAAAAAAAAAAAAATCAACACATGGTCATTTCTTTGAGTCACTGTTTGTATAAGCAGAAAAGTATGTAATTATAAAAAATATACGCACAAAACACAAGAAATTAAAAGCTAAAACAAGTGTTTTTATCTGTTAATATATTTATCGGTACAATATCTATGTATATTTATCTAAGTTAAAAATATGCCGCTGTGCTGTACTGGTTAGAAGAGGGCAGTATCATTATGCAGGGCCTGGGATCGAGCCCAGTTCCGGCTAGTGGCGTTCGAGTTGCTTTACTGACAATCATTCAAATGAATTCAAACTTAAAACCTAATTTACACCACCCCGCCTTAAGATTAAAACCAAGGATCCACTGCATGGTCCACCGGCAGACAGTGGAAGAGCCCCATGTAAAACTTTATAAAAAGTATCAATTCCGCTCCGGTTTTACTGTAATTTGATATCTGTGTTTTTTCCCAGGAATGAAGAAATGTGAAATCGGTCAGGTAGGAGCTAAACGGCGTCCGAATAAGTCTTGTAACAAAGGCCAAATTTCTAGGCGTTATTTTAGATAAGGAGCCGAACTGTAAGGATAATATAATTCAGATGGCAGCACTCCCTGCTCTTTGCTTAAGAGAGATATCCCAATGGCAAACTGAAACCCAGGGACACTGTTGTATATTAATTAAACTTTACTTCATTCCGAATAGCACAGACCGTTGCGCTTCGATTTCCGTTCCGCATCGCTGCTTTGATAAGTGAATAGAAGATATTAACTCTCCACTCGATAGTATTGACATCTATACAGATAGCTCGAAGCTCGACGGTAAGGTAGGAGGGGGCGTTTTCTCACGAAACCCTTCTCTGAATATCTCTTTTAGGTTACCAGGCCACTGCAGCGTATTACAAGCTAAAGTTTTAGTTATCATGCAGGCTGCTGAGAATCTTGTTGCCGAAATGATGGAAATAGACGTCTTCATTTTTAGTGGTAGCCAGGCTGCAATCTAAGGTCTGAGCTCTTTCAAGGATTGCAGTGGTCTACCGCCTATCTCCATAGGAGATGGCCAAGCAAAACAGACTTCTGCTGACTTGGGTCGCTGGTCGTAGGGACATAGAGGGAGACTGCATGGCTGAACTCGCAAGGCAAGGCACAACCAATCAGTTTCTTCCTGGTAAAGAACGCATTTATATGCCTTTCGAGAATTGCAAGCTGCTACTTAGTGAATTTGTATACAAAAAATCTGCAGAAAATGGAGTCAAAGTACGACTTGTCGAATTTTCAGGCAGACATTGTCGAAATCGGAACCGGAAAGGGTTACGAAGGTTACCCTCTAACGTTGTTAAGCTCTAACGGGGCACTGTCTAATAGGTAAGCACGCAGAAAGTCTCGGCGTGCCATTCCCAAGATGTTGCAGAAGCTGTAAGGACTGCGAAGAGGAAAACCAGTCTTCAACTGGGTACAGAGTTCCTGGCCGACCTTGGGAAGGATTCAAATACCGAGGCAAGATGCCTGATGAGATTCATCAGTCACACGAAGTGGTTCACCACTGAGTATAATTGAACGTTGTCAAACTTTGATAACACAATGAAGCTTCTAAGTGTTAGTAGGGGTGAGAAAAAATAATGGAACACCTTATGGGCAACCCTTACATACTATTGAACTTGGCATTAAAGATGAAAGCATATAAAAGAAAAGCTGATAATTTAATTACCAGTGTTGGGTGCGTAAAATGCCTGTTCTGATTCATGGCGTAAAAATACGATTCATACATCACNTTGAACTTGGCATTAAAGATGAAAGCATATAAAAGAAAAGCTGATAATTTTATTACCAGTGTTGGGTGCGTAAAATGCCTGTTCTGATTCATGGCGTAAAAATACGATTCATACATCATCGACTTCAAGTGCCCTTTGAATACTATTTCTTCCATTTTTCTCCGGAAAAAGCCGTAGACCGTGTTCATAGGCGTATCTAGAGTCCAGCCAGCCACTTAGTTGTCTATTTCGAGACATTTCGAAACTAAGACTTTCTGCCACTCTCAGACTACACTGCGGCACCTCCTTTTTGGCTACAGTGACCTTGGGGAAAACCACAATTTAATTCCGCAGGCACGGCCCGTTCAGACAGTTAAACCACATCGTAGCAGGTGACGAAACTTGAATACATGCGAATGCGCCACAAGAAAAAGTAAAAAAATAAAAACAAATTTGTTCCCGTAAGAAACAAGAGATGAACGTTAGTTTCTTCGGGCCATATGTTCGCAGTAGCGTTAGAGGAACGCAGAAGCGTTAATTTTGAGTGGTACACAACCATTTATTTGGCAATAGTCTTGAACGAATGGGAGAAAAACAACGAAGAACGGCAAATGGCCTTTCAGCACCCAAAGGATTGATGGATCATCCGCCAAACAGTATTTATTGGACACCTAATGGTTTCTTTTAGCTCCGCGAATAAAGGATACACTTTGCGGACAATGATTTTCATCGCCAGAAGAAGTGGTTGTTGCCGCGTATAAAACCCCCGTTTTTGATGTTTCGACATCGCTGCGTGAAATGTATTTCACAAATTGGTTTGTGTGTATGAAAAAGTGTACAAATCTTGCAGGAGAATACAAGACTATTTTTAACGACAAAATACACACCTGCGTGGAATTGGCTATCGCTTCATCGTCCTGTATTGAAAGATCAATCAATTCACAAATAGTCAGATGATTTCCATTTGTATTTGAGTTAGCTCTGTTTTGGATCTCCGAAAACCAAAGAGACATGCCGGTGGAGCTGAAAAAGAAAATTTTTTATGATTAAAGTAACATATCAATATGGGTGTAGATAAAGTCGCCTTCGCGCGGTGTACCCTGGATAATGCTAAATGGCCTACGGCCTTCAACCTGAACGGTGGCGGTCATGGCTTCTAACTAATTACGCCTTGGAATATGATACGGATTTGTCGATCTCCGGGATGGTGGTTGCGGTATTCTGCCATCTGTGTATACTGAAATAACACGCAGCAAAAATGGCTGGTGAGCAGGAAGGCCGGCATCATCAAAGAGTCCGACGGAAACTCACCGCACACCTTGTGTTGAAGTTCCGGCAAAAACTTTCGAGGTGTGTCATTTTGGAATTTATAGTAAGTGAAGACATATATACATACATATATGTCTCAACGTTGATAACTGCAGCCAGAGGGGAGGTTCACTATGGCTTCCTCTAATTTATTAACTCTGGTCTCGGATTGGATGGTCCTCAGTGACCACTTTTTTCCGTTTAACCTCCCTGTCCGACCTTCTGGACAAACGTCGCATGGCCTGGGCGATAAATTTGTTCAAACGCGCTAAGTCGCCATGGACTGCTGGCTCTGGAGAAGCCGTGCACTTAGCTGGCTCCTATTTATGTGAACTGTGAGAGGACCGGGTACATGGCCAAGGCATGGAGGGTAGTCAAGGTTGCATTCATTCCGAACGCCGGAAAGGGCTCTCAAGTTTCCCCTAACGATTTTAGGCCTATTCGTCTGACACATTAGAAACGGGATTCCTCGTGACGATGATGTGGCACTTTTGGTTAAAGGTCGATATCCAACTAGATACTCTTTGTGATCTGACATAAAGCTACATGAATCAGGTAACTAGGTGGGCGCCCAACTGCGGCCTCATGGAAGCCTAATACCGGTCAAAGGAGCTCATTTCGCTCGCAATCCTCGCGCAGTAAGAGTAGGAATCTCAATTTGTCCCTTTTGAATCAACTGTCAACAGGAAGATGAGGTGGAATCATCGCAGAAGAACTAAACATTTTGGATGGCACTTTTTAACTAACCCTGAGCCCTCAGGCATCGAAATCAGCCGCATTCGAAATTTAAAGGATATTTTCTTAACTGTCCCAGTTTGTCCCTTGCTTGGAGCAACAACTCAAACATAACCTAACATATTATATTAGTAGTTGGATAATGCACATAAAATAGGGTGTGTCAAATTGTTTTAAAGTCTACATGCCAAATTTTAAGAGGAATTTGCTTTACAAGCAAAAACTCAATTATCATATTGTATATACATATATTTGTTATGCATGTATATTATTGGTTGCATATGTCTAAGGGATGAGATCGATAACTAGGACATTATTTTTCACCAACAAAGATCATGCAAATTTATACTTATGTGCGTGTAAATATGCAACTAAACAAAAGTTAAAATTACCTGAAGAACATCCCGGCCATAACAGTGCAACAGATCAAAAAATTTAGAGCATATGGACGGTGGAACAACGGACGAGTTTCCAGCCAAATATTCTTAACGGTTTCATACCTAAAATTAAATTAAAAGATAAAAGTATGCATATTTATTCGGAGAATGAGAATCCCTCTAAAAAATAGTACAATTATAAAACTACTGGTGTCTTTGTCTTTAGAGTAAAAAGTAATGAAGCCTTCACGAAACTTAAGTCCCAAGTGCAATTCAGAATACCTTTTCAATAGCTACGCATTTAATTTTTGCATTTTTTATAGGATTCTTAAGCTAAAGATATAAATAAGTAATTAACAGGGCTCGGATTTAGATGCAATATCATCTTTTTCCTGAAGCTTCGGAGTCATTCCATTCGTAAATAAAAAAATCAAGGTCACCTATGAAATTAGAAAGCTTTTAAATGGTTTCTCGCTACTCATTTGTATTTATGCATAATAATAATAAATTTTTTGTTTCTTACCACGACTTGCTTGTTAAAAAAACTCTATCGGCTTCCGATTTTGTTTCGGCCTTCAATTTTTCTACACCGATTTGTTTTAAATCTTTACCGGTATTTCGTTTACATATCCAATTAACAGATGATAAAGCTTCATCATGTTTACCCAAAGATAACAGTACTTTGGGGCTATCTGGCAGTAGCAGCAAAATTCCAATTCCCAAAAATCCCGGTAACAGATTAAAGAGCGTCAATAGACGCCATGGACGAAAAGCGAAACTATCGCTTATCGGTAGGGACCAATCCTTCAAAAGCACCGGCCAAGCGATTGCTGTGAATATAAAAAGGAAGACACTTTCCTTACAATTTTACGAGTAAATATAAATGTCGTAATTAAATTTCTTAACGAATACAAAACGTACCCGGTACATAAGCCATCCCTAAGCCCACAAATAGGCTGGCATAGTTGGCGACAATCGCACAATGGCGTCTTGTGAAAAACTCTCCTAAATATGCATACGTTGTGGAGGAGGGGCCTGCAATACTTTCAAATAAAACATACATAAATACATACTAAATATGCTTTATTGGAAAATTAAAAACAGTCAATTTATAATTATAACAGCATCATCACTTACAAAACGCCGACAACAAAGCGCATAAACACAAAAGCCCAGTAATTCGGTATAAAAATGGATACAACGGATATGAGACTTGCACCTGAGGTAGAATAGAGCAATATACTTCGTCTTCCCACCGTATCGCTGAGGTATCCCCAAACGTATGAAAATATTACGATTCCTGCAAAGGAAGGGATATTTTAAAAATAAATATATGTACCTTCTTCATAAAATGTTATTTGGAGAGAAATTAAAAATTTTAAAGGAAAATGCTTTGTATCTAAGCTACATATACATTTTTATGTATATTTTTTCCAAATAAACCAATAAAGGGAAAACATTTTCAACATGGATCCTAAGAACTCTGTGTTTTAAGCAAATTTTTTTTCAACTTAAATTGGGGGCATGAACCTGTTTTAATAAACAGTGTGATTGTTTGATATAATATTTCTCCGGGTCCGGCCATTTCAACTCATTAAAATCAGATCTTTGCAAATCACAAGCTTGTAGGCCATTCGATTTCCTGCAAAAAAAAGTTCTACAAAACCAAATCGCTAATATCGATATTTCTTGAGATATTGGGCTTTGAAGTTGATCAACAATTATAAATATCTGAAATGAAATCGAAATTTTGTAGGAAACTGAATCACCTACAAGATTTGCAATTTTTCTGTACCTCTTGTTATATACGAGATAGGGGCAAATACAAACTGGAATTTCATGAAAATATTGGGTTTAGTGCTCCGTACTAAATCCCTGGTTCTAGAAAACCAAATCGCTAATATCGATATTTCTTGAGATATTGGGCTTTGAAGTTGATCAACAATTATAAATATCTGAAATGAAATCGAAATTTTGTAGGAAACTGAATCACCTACAAGATTTGCAATTTTTCTGTACCTCTTGTTATATACGAGATAGGGGCAAATACAAACTGGAATTTCATGAAAATATTGGGTTTAGTGCTCCGTACTAAATCCCTGGTTCTAGAAAACCAAATCGCTAATATCGATATTTCTTGAGATATTGGGCTTTGAAGTTGATCAACAATTATAAATATCTGAAATGAAATCGAAATTTTGTAGGAAACTGAATCACCTACAAGATTTGCAATTTTTCTGTACCTCTTGTTATATACGAGATAGGGGCAAATAAAAACTGGAATTTCATGAAAATATTGGGTTTAGTGCTCCGTACTAAATCCCTGGTTCTAGAAAACCAAGTCGCTAATATCGATATTTCTTGAGATATTGGGCTTTGGAGTTGATCAACAATTATAAATATCTGAAATGAAATCGAAATTTTGTAGGAAACTGAATCACCTACAAGATTTGCAATTTTTCTGTACGTCTTGTTATTTACGAGATAGGGGCAAATAAAAACTGGAATTTCATGAAAATATTGGGTTTAGTGCTCCGAGTTACGCCGCAATGGACACTTCTGTAGAACGTTCAATTCTGAAGAAAACCCATGGTTATACCATAAAATGTGTACAGTCAAATTAAAGGATATCCAATTAACTATTATCATGAAAAAGACATGCTATGAGTCAATAGAAAATAAAGATATACTGAATTCATGTAAAAAAGCGAATAACAATAACTCTTGTAAAACTTCGAATTTTTGCGACATTGTTTACATAAGTATGTATATGTAGATCTACGGTGCTGACCCTATATATATGTTCACTCCAACCTTAGGCTATTTATGAAATTAAGCACTTTAGAAGTTGTCATGTTCCAGATTGTAGACGGAAATGACAATCTCTGTCCGAAGAGTCTATGATACGTGGACAATCGGTTAATATGTACAGAAAGTCCCAAAGATGTAAGCGACATTTATTTCAAAATTTTATTTTTGATGCAGAAATGCACCTAGATGCTGTAGTAATATTTCTGCATACAAAGATAATTTTGAAAAAAAAGTCGCTTACATCTTTTTGGCGGATAGGGCCCGATATCTTATTTCTGTCGCCACTGGGTGGCAACCTGAGAAACCTCAGACTTACTTTGTAGCTGTACTGTTTATCCTTTTCACGGACCACAAAAAGGCTCCTTTGGGTCCCGAGTTTTGCACTAAGCGATAGTTCATGCTTATTTATTTCAGAATTTTTCTTTATTATCTCTTCCTCGTCCTCAGAAGACATTTCGATCGCTGTTTACTGTTACTTAGTCCCTCGCACGATTTCAGTATTTCATGGGTTTTTTCTGTTTTTTTTTACAACGCTTTTATCAACTTGCAATGTTGTGTGTCCAGAAACTTTCAATGTTGTGTGTCCGACACCATAAAAGCGTTGCTTTGAAAAGTTCCACTAAAAAAGCATAGTGCATAGGGCGACATCTGTAGTGAATAGGGCGAGGTAGATGACATCTAGATGTCGCCCTATGTACTACATTTGCTACAGCGGAAATAGGCGACGCGCCATTTCTTTAAATAAAATTAATTGGTGCTCGTTTGTATGTACATACATATGTAAATGCATGTGTGTGCACCTTTCTATTAATATCATTGAATTATTTTAATATCTATCGCAAAATTTTATTCAGCCAGGACTAAAAAGTACAAAATAAATAATATAAAAAAAAAACTTTTTAATATACATCGCTTTTATAAATGGACTGAAAAGTAGAAAATAATATTTCTCAGTCCCATAGAATTTGTTTTGATAACTTTTGATTTTGAAATTTTAGCAAAAGTCATTATAAACAATCTATGAAATTGAAAATGAAAAGCGTGGGGCGCATGTAATACACTTGAATTGATATGAAAAGTAATATATGTATGTATGTATGTGGGTATATGAATAACGACCGCTTAAAATCGATTTCAAAGTTCTACTTTCGCTGTAGAAATTTTAGGTCTACGTTATGTAGTTTGACTATTGTCAATTAAATCGAATGCTTTGTATTGCATGCGCTCCACGTTTTTCATTTTCAATTTCATAGATTGTTTATAATGACTTTTGCTAAAATTTCAAAATCAAAAGTTATCAAAACAAATTCTATGGGACTGAGAAGTATTATTTTCTACTTTTTAGTCCATTTATAAAAGCGTTGTATATTAAAAAGTTTTTTTTATATTATTTATTTTAGTTTTTTTCTTGCCAAAACTGTTTTGTTTTTTTTTTGGTATCAAATTTGCTTACGTTGCGCTGTCCAACTTTATTTCACAGTACTTTGAAACACGATTTTTTATCGTACAAAATAGATGACAACTCTTCACTTACCCGCAAAACTAGACGCATTCATTATGGCCTTATCAATCGCAGATGTAGCAAAATCGCATTGTGAAGCGATCGTTATGATGCTCATGCCGACTGTTTCGTCAATAACCACCATCAAAAGCAAGCCGCACACCAGCAGTATTACCCATTGCGCACAACCGAAACCTTGCAGATTGAAAATGAAATTATACACACACTTGTAAATTAAGCCGTACCACGACATATGAAAGAAAAAAGTTTAGCGTGTGTCAGTTTTATTTAAACACTTATGTCGAGAGAAAATTTTGGGTGAGTGTAAAAATTATTTTTAGACACCCGCTAAATCTCGTTTTTTGCCATAACTTTCTTATTTTATATGGTTTCGCGGACTATAATCGGCCATCAAACAGTCTTGGCCTTCAAAACCGTTTTAATTTATATCTTCACTAATTTTGGAATTACCAAAGGTCTCAAAAATCGGTGATGACCTTGTTAAAAGGGGTTTGGGTTTATTCAATTATAGTCCTGCGCGAGGCATTTTCGTTGACATAAAAATTTAAAAAAACGGATAGCAAATAAGAATGTTATAGTAAAAAACGCGATTTAAAGGTTTTTAGCGGGTGAATAAAAAAATGTTTACACCCACAAACTTGTCTCGACATTAGTATTCATATAAAGCTGACACACGCTAAACTTTTTCGTGATATGCCTTAATGTACAAGTATATATAGTTAGTTCAAAATAAGGGACACGCTTAACCACCCGCCCCCATGCACACCTATCATATCAAGCACAGCTTCATAGTCATGTTGCTGTAGTTGTGTATCCTGTGGCGCACTAGCATTTTCCTCGCTTGTCGCTAAGTTTCCCCCTATATTCAATACAGTAGGTAATTTTGATTCACAAGGACCTTCGGCGTTCGTCGCCATTATTAAGTTAGCTTTGACTTTTACTGGCGTAGGTATTTGTAATAAAAATTGTTTAGTAAATATCACTTTTTATTAGAATGCAACAAGCATACACTTAAATATACGCAACACATAGTTTATATCAGAATCACTTGATTTGTAACCGTTATCACTGCCGCAGCCTCAGACTGCCAATTTGCGACTGAACTAATAGCAGTGTGTCGCCTTTTACACCTGGCTGCGCCGCTGGCACTGTTTGTAGATCACCGATAAACAATTATACCAGTCTTATCAAATGTTGCCCCCGCTGAGTATACTCGTATACATACTTACACATACTTACGTACATACATACATACGTCGCCGAACAAGTGTTTCAAGATGTACTTATGTACATACATATGTATGTAGTTTCAATCTAAAATGATATGTTTTTATACTAGCGCGAACTTTTACAATTTCTCTGTTACTCAATTGTGATTGAGTCATTCGTTCAGAATAAGCAAAAAAGCTGGTTGTTAGCCTTATCACATTAATCAAAGTTGATATTGATTTACATTTTTTATAAGTAGATATGTACCTACTTATGTACGTACTTCCACCTCAAAAATTACAGCAAGCAGCTTGTGCTAATGATGTAGCCATTACCATCTATCTCTGTTAGATGTCTAAGCTCGCTAAGTGATGTCGTTCAACTTTCGGACTACTGAAACTCGATTCGGGAGTAAATAAATCGAAAAATCGGAGTGAAAGCGAAATTTTAGGGGCAGATTAAAATTTTTTTTTTTTTTTATTAAATAGTATACGGAAAAATTGTTACATCTATAGGTACTTTTTCAGTTCATCTCATTTTTTTCTATACTAACGCATTATTTGCATTCATATATGTATGTATAGCCATCATCGATTCACCATTTCTCTGCTCGCGATGTTTGAGTTTCGGTCGCTTAAAGAAGAATTTTACATGTGATAGCAGCAAAAAAGTTAGCTAGCACGGATAAACGATAGCGAGTTTGGTTGTACCTCATTTAGTTCGTTCGTTTCGGCACTCGCATAATTATTTATTTATTTATTTAGTTTGTCAATTCATCACATTATTAGATACCCCGGCTTACCATGTAGCGGTAGCTTTCAGAAAGGTGAAAGTCATATATTTAATACTTGCGCCGGGTATTTAATGTTCGGCTCCGCCCGAACTTAGACTTTCTTACTTGTTTTTAATTAGGTTTTTTGCTAAAACATTACTACTTGTGTAAATTTTCAGCAATTTACCACCAGTATTTACTGAAATTAGTATAGCAGTTTTGAATTTTTTTACAAATCCCGTTATATGTGAGGTAGGCACGGCTTCAGTCCAATTTCGACAATTCTCATCATCTAAGCATCCCATCACTTTTAAGTAAAAGAAAAGAAAAGCCCACCACGGCCAACAATTTTGAGGGATAGAGGAATGAAAAAAGGAGAGTAAAACGATATCAAAGTTGGAAAATTTGTCTGATATTAATAAATATATTTTATTCGTTCCTCGTATGATAAACTACTTATCCTAAACTAATCAAATTATCTGTCAACATGATCAGGGAGTTTCTGTTCAGAATCGGCCTGCGACGCTTTACTGTGTCTTCGAGATCAAATACATTATCACCTTCCATTTTTGGTAGCGTTTCTGAGAATAATTCGGCCTAATAAATGAATAAAAAACAAACTTACTTATTAAAATACATTTTAAACATAAAAATGTTTTGAACAGCTTACCCGTTCTTATACGAAAAGTTACCAGTAATCTGTCATGCTGGATTTTGAAAAAAATCCTTTAATCCCTCCCCTTTCGGAGGTGAAACGAAATACATTTTCAGGGCACCGAAAAACTGCAGAATGCCCTTTATGGCTGGGCCGAGAGTAAGAAATCTTGTTTTCGCGTAGCCCAAAAACTTCTGAAATTGGACCTCGGCTTCATCGTAAAATGCTTTCAATGCTTCCGTTCTTACTGCCGTCTCTAAATTGGAGCGTGAAGTGTTGCGTTTTCCATTGTCAACGAGTGTCAGCGCGCGCTATCCCCAAATCAAATAGTACGAAACGGAATTTATATAATGTTCGTGGGATAGGTTTTTAGAAGTAAAAAAGGAGTATCCCGCAAAAAAAGGATAATACCATCCGTACTTTACGCATGACCCATAGAATTTGTCTCGATAAGTTTTAATTTTTGAGTCTCTTTTTTCCCCCTATCTAGATCGCCAATAACATCTTAGTTATAGGACAACGTTTTTTGAGTTTAGCTATGGAATGTTTACACGTACGTTCGTGATTTCAAATAATTTATTAACAACCTCATTCTTAAATGCGTAATAATTATTTACATTGCATGCATTTTTTCTTCGCGCAGCTGAAATAACGATAATAAGTATTTGAGCTATAAATCATTTAAATGAGGATATAAACTATTTACTTTGCCACTTAATGAGAGCTTATCTTAATAATATGTAATCACCATAAAGCTAATTTTCAAGTAGATATTTATATAGTTTTTTTTTGCAATTTTGGCACATACAAGAGAATCTGCTCACTTTCAATAACTTGTTAAATACATATGTACACATGCTTACAAATGGATTGCAGCTAAGAGGAAATATTAAATAAGCACACCAATGCACAGAGGGCCAGACCTCAAGTAAAAGTGGCCAAAAATCAAACATCGAATTTGATTCAAATCATTTCATTTTCGATTTATAGATAAATAGAAGAATTTGAAGAAAAATTATTTAGAATAGTTTAAGAAGTTTTATATTAGCAAACCCTTACGGCCATATTATTGACTTTTTTAGAGAAGTTGGCAAATGAATTGACAGCTGTCAACTATCAAACTAAAAATTTTATGGCATATTCGGATTAAGCATTATAACAATACAGTTTTATTATATTCTTAAAGGCCCTTCTAATTTTTCGTGTAAAACATGGCTTCTCCGACCACTGTGCGACGACGGAATAACTTTTTTGTCAATTAATCTCTATGGAGTAGCGGGGAATAACTTTCCGACAGAGGAATACGTATTTATTCCAATCGTTTTTCAAGGAGAGGAATTATAAAATGTTTTAACTATCTCTTTTTTTTAGAATTTTTAAATTCATGATAAACTAAAAAATCTTGTCTAATGCAAAGTCAAGAACTCTTCCTACTTCAAATGAAATGCCTTAATCAAAAAGGTAAATACACCACATGGTAGAGGAAGAAATTCTCTACATAATTGCAGTGAAAAGTATTACGCCGCGACTTATCACTTTCGAGTGATCAAATAGTTAATTCAATGATTTCTTTTGTATGAAATATGAGCAAGAAGTAATGTTACTCATACGCCAAGTACAAGTATCCAAGCGTGTGGTCAAACGTATAGGAAGACGATAACAGTTGATTACGCTATAGGGATAAGTCGTAGCGTAGTAATTTTCTCTGCAAATATGTAGATTATTTCTTCCTCTGCAATGTAGTATGCTTATAATTTGGATTAATGTACATATTTGATTTTACTTAGCCTGAGTTGAATTGGACAAAATGTGTTAGTATTTCATTAATTTAAAAAATCTAAAAAATAGAGTCCATTGCTATACCAATGGCCTACCCCAAAAGTTGCAGAATCTCTTCTTTTTCTTTTTTATTGACGCCGTAACCGCCTAAGCGATTTTGGCCTGATATTTACAATGATTTTTAGACGAAAAATAAGAATAATATTATTTATTTTTTGAAAATTGGCGTAGCCACGCCCATTTATGATTACATGTGTTTATCTTGGTAACCGCTCCACCAAATTCTCCCAAATTTGCCGCAGTTTTTGGCATTGGCACAGCATACTAAATGGCCGAAAATTTAAAAAATCGGACAATAACCACGCCCACATCCCATATAACGGTAATTTAGGGAAATACGATATCTTCGATAAATCAGTTAATACTAAAGCTAATTCATTCAAAATTTATGCTTGCAATAATTCTTTACCAAGACATATGTACGTTTATGATAAAATTTTGGAAAATGGGCGTGGCACAGCCCACTTATGATCACATATATGTATCTCGGTAACCGTTCTACCAATTTGTACTACACTTATTGTTCTTGCCACATAAAAGCAAAACATTGAAAATCCTTGAAATCGGACCAAAATTACCCCTTTTCCCCCCTTTTCATAGAACGGTAAATTTCCGAAATTTGGATATTTCGAAATTTAAGGACGCTAATTTACTCAATACTGATACTAACAACAATCCCTTGAAGAGAAGTAATATTATTTGGAATTTTGGAAGATGGGCGTGATACCGCCCTCATATGACTATAAAAGTTAATCTCATTATATCTAACTGAACATTCTATCAAAGAGTTTTAAAATAGCGGGAGTTGTCAGAAAGGTGAAAAACATATATTTAATACTTTTCACTTATACTTCTCACAAATACTTTATACTTTATACTTTTCACAAATACTTATATTTAATACTTATATATTATGTGATTTCGCCCACAATTTGTTTTCAAGATGCCGATAATTTCACAACCCTCTGCGCCTCGAAAATCAAGTTTTGCATTCCCTGCGATCCAATATACATATTCACGTTCTTGTAGGTTTTGCTTAATGATGTATACAATTTTTCTCGCAGTAAACTAAGCCATAACGAGAATTGTGAACTCAAAAAATACACTTCAAAAAAAATATTAGGCATATTTGGTGGAATTAATTATATGGAAAAATGGGAAATCCGATTGCGACGAAATTTAGTTTGCATTCTCTCTTTTATTAGAAAACCCTATATATAAATTATGGGGAGTATGGGATCACTGGGATGTTCGAAACTCTCAAAAAATGTGGGCCCAGTCATTAAATGTGATGAATTTTTGCTTTCCGTTTTCCACTCTCAGAAAAAAAGATTATGCTTTAAAATTACATAACTGTAAATACTACCTTTTCTCCCAATATTTTGTGAGATTTTTCTGTTGTTCGAAAAATTACTTTTGCGAAATTATGCAAAAAGAAACTGAAAATCAAAAATAAGAAAATCGAAAATTGGATATATTTGCAAAGTAGCGTGAAAAGATTCAATTATATATTAGAAATCNAAAATTGGATATATTTGCAAAGTAGCGTGAAAAGATTCAATTATATATTATATATATATAAAATTCTCTAAAACATGCGTCTAGTTTTAAGACCTGAGGGGCCGGTACTCACACTTTTTTTACTAATAATCCGTAGTATCTACATTTCAAAGTAAATTTGTTGATAAAAAAATAGGAAAATACGAAATAAATGACAAATACCTTCTCTTCAATATTCCATGACACTTAAATAATTGACTACAGTTGAAAAAGAAACACTTGATTTACTGGGTTAAACGGTTAAGGGCAACTAAACTGATTAGTCGTTACCGCGCCGATTCCAGTATTTCTTGTTTGTGGAAATGTACCGTTCGTGGAAAGGGGGTGAGTAAAATATTTATATGAAATTTGATATTTGTGACTTTTAGTTGTCCCTCTCTAAGCCCAAAATGGTTTTTTTACCAACTGTTACCATGACTTTTTTCTACCTGTCTCCATATAGCCAAAACACTGTGCGTCCCATGCAGCTTTTGCAGTCTCAGCTGTAGCGATATAACCAAAGTTGCAGGGAGCTATCATTTACGTAATTTCGGCTAGCGTACGTTCATCTAATGATTTTTCACTTTCCGTAGCTCAATTTGATAGTCCATTTTCCACAATCTTAAAGCAGCCTTTAATCACAAAGTACGATTTCGCATGTTGTTCCCATATATCGAAGTTCTCACGACCCCGCAATTTTTCAAATGGATACGAAACTAAATTTGACACCATTTCCGAACTTTTGAAAAAAAAAATATTTCTAACAAGATTATTTTTTATTTTATCCAAAAATTTCGAAACAAAAAATGTGCACGTGTTCACAGTTAATTAAAAGCCCATAACCTGTTATGCGGAGGTAATCAGCGCAGATGAAATTAGAAGACGTGATGGCGGATAGAGTACAATACTTGCACTAACTTTATTTGTATATGCAAAAAGAGAGCACATAAGAATGTTATACCATTGTCATCTTAGACATATGTACATATATATTTATATGTATAATACACTTTTTGACAAAATAATTGATTCACTTCAACAACGAAGGTACGCTCACAGCTTTCGATTTAATTAACAGTCGTCAGAAGTATTTGTTGTACTCAAATAGGCAGTATGATTGTGAGGAACATACAAACTATGTAAAAACAAAATAAAACAGTTAACATAAATAAATAAGTAGATTACTATATAGTTTGCAATTATTTTTATTGAGTTTGGATTTCGCACTTACCAATTACGGAGCCAGCGAAGAAGCTAAATGTGAAATTGCAGTAAGAGGCTAATAACGCACCGATAACATTGCTTCCGAAAATGCTCCCAGCACGCCCAAGCAATGACCAAATGCAAACAGCTTTGCCACTACGGAATAATGGTATTACTTTTTGTTGCAATTTAAAAACCAGGGACGGAAAATAATCATTATTTTTTTCAATTTTAACAAAAAAAATCAACAAATTGTAATCAGTGATTTTTTTAGTTGGAGTTTAATCAATAAGGATTAGAGATATTAATTTATTTCCTTTTTGGTTGTTGTTGTTTCCGACAGGGTGGGTGTATGATGTATTATGGAACGAATTTCCGTCATCCCTTGTCAAATTTGGTTTGGAGACAAACCGGTTTCGGCGTTCGGCGAAAAATGACACTGAAGATGGCACAACGCCGAAACCGGTTTGTCTCCAAACCAAATTTGACAAGGGATGACGGAAATTCGTTCCATAATACATATTAATTTATATTTGAGTTTTATTGTTTCGCTCAAAGGAAATTATTATTACATGGTTTCTATTTTTTCAATTAAAAATAATGATTGTTTAATAAACTCTAAAGCTACACCAGCGTGATTTCCTTTTCAGGAGTAGCGACACCCTTATAAAAGGAGTGGCTCAATTGGTTGGGTCTGTAGGACCATTTAAATTTTATAAATAATCATTATTTTTAAGTGGAAAAATCAAACATTATAATAATTATTATCGCTGAGCGGAATAATAAAAAACATAAAATAATAATTTTTTCTGATCGAAATAATAAAAGTCAACTAATAATTATTTTCGTTGAGCGAAAAAATAAAACCAATTAATAATTATTATTTTTAAGCGAAAATAAAATAGAAACCATAAATTAATTTACTATTTCATAATGATTACCGTCCCTATTAATAACTCTTAGTCATTTGAATATTTAAATACCGCAAATGTGTAGGCACCAGATCGACCACTCCGCTGCCCAATAGCGATATGCAGATACCTGGCATAGTGACAAATAGAATAAAGCATATGACGATCGCCATTGGATTAACCAACACTAGCATAAGAACGCAGAATATGGCACTCAAAAGTAAAGATCCAATAATTGTAGCTTTGCGTCCAAATATATTTATTACCGGGCCTAACAAAGCATAGCCCACGACAAAGCACAGCCCAAGTAAAATCGAATCAATATAAGTTTTGTTGCTGATGTGATCGCTGCAGATCTATAAAAAAAGAACATTTGAGTAAAAAGTTTATGTATAAATTAAAATAGAAATTCTAAAAAATACCCGCGCAAAATACAAGAAATTAAAACCTAAATCAAATAATTTTTAAGCAAAACACAATACCAACTTCAATTCTCATATAAAAATATACAAACAGCGTGGCGACGAATAAATGTTACACAGGGTTTTTTGAGAAATAAAAGAGCCCTTTATAGATTTTGCGAAAAAAAGTATTTTATTGTTAATTTTCCACAGATTTAACTTTAGCTGAATTAATAAGTTTTTTCCTTATTTACATTTTCCAGCAGTGTAAAATTTGAAAGAAAAGATCATTTGGCACGCATTTGGATGTTGTCACACAAAGCGGTGGGACCTACAGTTNACAGGGTTTTTTGAGAAATAAAAGAGCCCTTTATAGATTTTGCGAAAAAATTATTTTATTGTTAATTTTCCATTTACTTCAGTTATATTAATAAGTTTTTAAATTTTAATACTTATTTACATTTTCCAGCAGTGTAAACTTTGAAAGAAAAGATCATTTGGCACGCATTTGGATGTTGTCACACAAAGCGGAGGGACCTACAGTCNTATTGTTAATTTTCCACAGATTTAACTTTAGCTGAATTAATAAGTTTTTTCCTTATTTACATTTTCCAGCAGTGTAAAATTTGAAAGAAAAGATCATTTGGCACGCATTTGGATGTTGTCACACAAAGCGGTGGGACCTACAGTTTTGCGCCGATTCCTTACGGCGATTGTATTTTTATGAGAAGCTGTTCATGGCAGAAACTCGGAGGTTTGCCATTGCCTGCCGAGGGACGACCGCTGTTAAGAAAAACCCTTTTTTATATTTTTTTTATGTTGCTTTGACCAGGGCTTGAACCCAAGTGCTGATGAGTGAAAGCGCGCACTGTGCGTAAATCAGNCCCTTTTTTATATTTTTTTTATGTTGCTTTGACCAGGGCTTGAACCCAAGTGCTGATGAGTGAAAGCGCGTACTGCCTACCACTACACCACAGCGACTGACACTTAAATGATTTTACTCAAATCGTTATTTCGATACAACTTAGATGAGTAAACCGAAAGTATCGATACCTACTTATATTGATAATTTTTCTTCCTTTTGTATGCAACAAAGCGAAAGTGATTTTCCGGCGTTTATCTGTGACATACCTGTTGCGTTATGCGCTTTTCACGCAAAGTCTGAAAAGTCACAACGCATTGCGGCACATTTTATCAGGGACGGAAAATAGTAATTATTTTTTTAAATTTTCACCAAAAAATCAACAAGTTGTAATCGTCGTAGAACAATTTTAACTATACTCACGTATTTGTGTTCGTACGTACTACTGTAATTTACAGTGATTTTTATTCTTCGAGTTGAATCAATAAAGATGAAAATAATAATTAGTATTAGAGTTTTATTTTTTCGCTCAAATCAAATTGTNAGTAAACCGAAAGTATCGATACCTACTTATATTGATAATTTTTCTTCCTTCTATATGCAACAAAGCGAAAGTGATTTTCAGGTGTTTATCTGTGACATACCTGTTGCGTTATGCGCTTTTCACGCAAAGTCTGAAAAGTCACAACGCATTGCGGCACATTTTTTCAGGGACGGAATATAATCATTATTTTTACAATTTTAACGAAAAAAATTAACAAGTTGTAATCGTCGTAGAACAATTTTAACTATACTCACGTATTTGTGTTCGTACGTTCTACTGTAATTTACAGTGATTTTTATTCTTCGAGTTGAATCAATAAAGATGAAAATAATAATTAATATTAGAGTTTAATTTTTTCGCTCAAATCAAATTATTATTACTTGATTTTTGTTTTTTTTTTTCGATCAAAAATAATGATTATTTGATGATTTTTATTTTTTCGCTCAAAGATAATAATTACACAGGTCCACAAAAAAATCGATGAGGCGTTCCTTTGACCAAACCTAGTCTGTTGTATGTTTTTAGGGTCGCTGAACATGAATCTGAAGTTTTACGTGACAGAGAAAATCCGAGGTGTTGTTTGAGGTTACGAAAAAATTTAGACGTGATGGAGCAAAACGGACTTCAGATTCATGTTAGGCGACCCCAAAAACATATAGCAGGCTAGGTTTGGTCAAAGAAATCTCTCATCGATTTTTTTGTAGACCTGTGTTATTATTGAGTTTTACTTTTTCACTTTAAAAATAATGATCATTCAAAATATTCAAAAGCTATACCAGCGTAATTCCCGACGAATTCTTTTTAAAGGTAGCGAAACCTTAACAAAAGGGTTAAGCCCCAAAATTTTTGGGTCAAAATGTCAGAAGTTTGCGTCTGTATGGCCTTTTCAGTTTTATAAATAATCATTAATAATTTTTATTTCTGAGGGAGAAAATAAAAATCATAAAATAATCATTATTTGTGATCGAAAAACTAAAAATCAAATGATAATTATTTCCGTTGAGCGAAAAAATAAAACTCAATAATAATTATTATTTTTAAGCGAAAAAAATAAAAATCATGAAATAATGGGTTAATGCTGATTTAAATTATTTAACTCATAATGATTACCGTCCCTGCATTTGTTGTTGTTGTAATTCAGAACTCAGAATTGGTTGAAAATACCCTATCTCAGAAAACTTTCCAAAATGGGGCGTTTTCGAACTGGTGGCGAGATAAATCGATCTTCCACTCAGGTGTCGATTTATTCATTAGTTAACAAACACTAAGAAGAGAACGATGAGAAGCCAATATTTTTTGTAGAAACTTAATCGCCATTAGATAAAAAATTCAACATTTGATACGTTCCCACGAAACTTTAGGGCTTTAAAGCAATGCTTGCACTTTGCTGTGGTATCAGTAACTTTGTAAAAATATATCCATATATACTTTAGATTTTGGCGATGTAATTGCCATAAAAACGGCGCAGTGGAAAGTTTTTCCATAGAAAAAAATTGGCCGACAAGATATGGCACTTGCTTAAATCCATTCGATACAGGACGGATCTGGATGATTTTCTCAGTAGACTTTGTATGATTATTTAGAAAATAGCTCACGAAATTTCTTGGTTTTAGGTGTCCAAATAAAGGAATTTTGAAGTAAAACCCCATATATAGCAATCAGTTGAATGATTGCTATAGGTTATAGTGACTCGATCTTTGTAACTTTCACTATAAGTATTATGTTGATAATTAGTGAAACAAGTGCGAAAATTCACGTTCCTAGTTGCATAAATGGAGGAATTATAATAAAAGATCTCAATTGTATGGGAGCTATATGTTATATTGGTCCGATTTTTCCGGTTACGACAAATTTCATCCGGATAGAGACTGGAGTGCTTACAATACAAACAGACGGATAGACGGATATGCCTAAATCGGCTCAGCTCGACGTTCTGATCATATAAGTACCCATTTTAATGGGTATATCTCTTCTTATTCTGGTTCTTACAATCGACGCACCAAAGTTATAATACAATTTCATGCTCATCAAATGTATAAAAACATCATTAACACCATAACTTTTTTTTAAAAAGTTGTCTCAGTGTAGTAAAAAATTGAAACGACTAGCGTTTTTTATAGAACTCGACAAAAAATCGCTTAGACAGTTACAGCGCCACACAAGAAATAGGAGAACATCTCCCATGAATTACGTGTTTTGATAATACATAGTCAACAATTTAACTAATGTCCACAAAGATTCAACACTTATAACTTCTTAATGAAAGCTGATATTTTTTTAACTACATAATTTAATTACATATGCAAATGCATATCGTGTAAAAACCCTGTAAGGATACAAAGACACGCACCTGCGTAGAATTGGCTAGCGCTTCATCATCCTGTATTGAAAGATCAATCAATTCGCAAATAGTCAGATGACTTCCATTTGTATTTGAGTTAGCTCTATTTTGGATCTCTGAAAACCAAAGAGACATGCCGGTGGAGCTTAAAAAGAAAAATTTTTAAATTAAATTAACATATTAGTAGTTTTATATAGGTACATTTTTACGTTGGCCAGATTTCTGTGGAGAAAATCGGGACATTTCCCAAGCATCGAATGCGAACATCCCATTTTGTTTTTAGGAAAAACAAAGCAGTAACATATTTTAGGCAGACTCCTATTAAATTAATAAATAAAACACTGAAAATCGGCCTTTAATCGGTACAAATATGAAAAATCGGGGCACTTGCACTGCCCTGCAAAAGTTTGCACTCACTTGGAAAATTGTTTTGGTTTTTATGGTCGCGTCGCTGCCAGAGAACAATTGTGGCAACCCGCAAACGTTCTTAACCCAGCAGAAAAAAATTATCAATTGATAAAAAATAACCCACTTGTGGTTAGCTTTCTTGCGGGATTTCTATAAAAATATATAACCCGTAGTTAGCTACAAAAAGCTAACTTGAAACTAGTTGACAAGTAATGCAGGAGTAATGACGGAGATTGTTTTCTTTAAACGCATTTCTATTTAAATATCCTGCACTTCGCAAATACTTTTTCGAATTGAAGACAAATAAAAGGAAGATCGAAATTTCATATTATCATTTTGAAGTTATGTCTGACGGAGTTGGAATATGGGACCACCTACAGGAGAATATGTAAACAAATATGAAATTTTATAAAATAATTTAAAAAAATATTTTGTTTGTCCTATTGATATTTTATGTCCAAGATTAGTTAGTTACAAGTTAGTTATATCAAATGCAGAGGTAGCCACCCTTGACTACAGCTAATGCACAGGTAACCACCCTTGGCTATTTCGCGGCCATCGCCATAGAAATATAGTTAGCTTTCGTCAAAGAATATATACAGATAATAAGTGACTTTTAGCTCCTTCCTAATCAACTTAAAGTTAGCTTATAGCAAATACCCCTATTTGGGACAGTGCGAATGGTCACCGTGTACATAATGCATATTTCACATGCAATAAAATATCAAATTGTTTAAGTCTGCGCGCCAAATTTCGAGCGTAATTTGCATTAACCCATCAAATTTGTTTTGTGGGCTGCGATTGCACCTTTTGGTAAAAAGTTCAATTATTGTACAATACTTTTAACTAGGGCTAGGAATCGAGGAATGGAAATAGTTAAGTTGTCTTTACTATTTAATCACGAAATTTCCTTTAAAGGGGAATTCAATCGTTAATGCATATTTTGCAAAAAAGTACTATTTTTGCTTTATTTAACTTACAACCACTTAAATTTAGTGCGACATCTTTTGACAAAGAAATTACACATAATTTTTTCCCACAAATTCATCTGAACCCCTGTATTAAATTTCCAATTTTCTGTTTACACCAGATTGTAACTCTCTGCTTGATTAGTAACTAATTTTACACATATTTAAATATGTATTGCATTTTTGAATGAATTGTTTTCGTTCTTTTCTCGTTAAAATACATGTATTATTTATTTTTGTTCCGGCAATAAAATATTATGATAATATTTTTAATTGCATTTTACTTTTTTAAAGCTCATATTTTCGAATTTTGAGCTCATATTCTCTGAGCCCTACTTATTACATAGTTATTGTCCCCCGCATGTCAGAAACATAAATGTTTAAAAATGAAATTTTTGGGAAACCAAGTTTGAAAGTTTTTTTACGAGACTTAACTCTGCATTCAGGCAAATGACATTGTGAATTATGTGGTTTCCGTGTACGCGCGGTATTCTGGGTTTAGGTATAACATGAAACATCCAAAGGTTAATCAAGTCAACTCAATAACTCAAAATTGGTAAATTTGTAAAAATGTATACCTTTTGTAAAAATGTATACCTTTTGCGTGTAAATATGCAGATGGAACCAAAGAACAATTATTATTACCTGAAGAACATCCCGGCCGTAACAGTACAACATATCAAAAAATTTAGAGCGTATGGACGGCGGAACAACGGACGAGTTTCCATCCAAATATTCTTCACGGTGTCATGCCTAAAAATATATTAAAAGATAGAAGTATATTGAGAGAGAGTCCCATTAGGAGTAGTAATTATATACTAGTGTCTTTATGTTTGGAGACATCTGAGTAGCTTCATAAAAAATCCAATATATCTTCTTGAACAATTTTCTGATTAGAAAACAAATGTATTAATTTTTACAACCCAAGAATGATTGTATGGATTTCAGTGTGTTTAAATTAATTTCTTTATGACACCATACAAATTTAATTTTTTGTTTGTTATTGACTATTTTTATTCATAAAAAGCTCCAGTTTTGGAGGTATTTTCAAATCGGTCCAGTTCACGGAAATCTTAATATTTTTCCGAAACATTTTGGTGGACGTCTTAAAATATAATAATCTTTGTAATCCCGCAACTTTTTTTGGTGATGCAATCTAATGTACATCCATCTTTTGTACTGATATTTTAACTAAAATTTAAAAAAAAAAAAAAACTACAAACGAATGATGTAACTTGTTTTAGGGTCAATCTGTCTCATTTAGGTGCATTTATTTTATGATATTAGGTACAATATGAAGTTTCCCTGATGAGTGCAGCAATTGCTTCATTCGTATCACACAGATTTCGCTGCAGAGAGATGATATCCGAGTGCATACTGTCGGCCTTTCTTTCTAATTTATTATTGTCTTCGCACAGTGCACTGATCATGCTACTCATACGAACGTTCTCATCACGGAGTGAGACAATGACACTGTATAGAGAGTGCAAAGTTATTCCTGTTGTTTGTTAGTATGTTCACTTTGATTTGGCGAGAGCCTTATGGTCTGATTATGCATACTTCGCATAACTTCGNACAGTGCACTGATCATGCTACTCATACGAACGTTCTCATCACGGAGTGAGACAATGACACTGTATAGAGAGTGTATTCCTGTTGTTTGTTAGTATGTTCACTTTGATTTGGCGAGAGCCTTATGGTCTGATTATGCATACTTCGCATAACTTCGCACAACTTCGCATAAACTTCAAACTGTAATTTCGTATGTACTTTGTATCTAATTTGTATGTATTCCATTACCCAGAAATTAGCAGAACTTTTAAAAACTTAGCGATCTGTTGAGTTTAGATTTTGCTTCACATTTTCTTAAGTAACATTTTTATTGCACTGGTACAAATGGTTGTGCGAAGTTATGCGAAGTATGCATAATCAGACCCTTACATCCAGAACAGCGGGTGGAGAAGGCGAACGAAATGACTTTCGTCGCGCAGAAGCGTNAAATGGTTGTGCGAAGTTATGCGAAGTATGCATAATCAGACCCTTACATCGAGAACAGCGGGTGGAGAAGGCGAAGGAAATGACTTTCGTCGCGCAGAAGCGCAGGCACCGCAATAATATTTCTTATTAGAGTTTTGCAAAAACTCCAGGTCTGCAGGTTGAATACCAACGCAAGATGTATCGAAGAGTTCATTGGCACTGCACCTACTTTTTTGTATCATAAGACCAATCAACTTATTGCCCACACGAGCAAGGCAGAATTAAATATAGCAGAATTATATATAGCCAGTATTGTAATTACGTACACATACATGTATATTGGCCAGTTGCCGTTTAGCAGGCGGCTGTGGATCAACATCACTACTCTCTCTAATATCTTGGTCTGCTAAACGGCAACTGGCCAAATCATTAATTTAATTTATTTAATTTTTTTACTTAAAACTTTTCATAACTACATTTCAAAATAATATTTTTTCCCATATTTTTATAATTTCTTTTTCAATGTTTCTTCAAAACCAACACTGAAAAAAATTGGTAAATAAGAAATAAGAAGTAAATTAATATTAAGCTGGAAAACGCAAGTTTTGTGTTATGATTGTTTTCTTTTCAAATGAAATTTATTGAAGAAACTGAGAAGCATATTATAGATCAAACAGAAAGCAAAAAAGACTTAGTTTTGTGGAAAATATGTTCAAAAAGCATGAAAAAAAAATTTCCAACATTTTGCTTCATAAGCACTACACAAATTTTCTAAATCAATTTTTTTTTAATTTTAATTGTTGCACAGGTCTCTAGCAATAAGTTGGATTTAACAGATTGAAAAAATATCAATTAGTCGACGAGTTATAGCCAAAAAACCATTTAAACAATATGCAGAAAATCGGCATTTGACTGCAAAGTTCGAAGGTCGATTAAAAAAAAATTCGAACTAACATAAACAAACGCCGCGATACGGGTCTTCTAATTTAGCCTCTATTTTCACCCCTCACTCTCAGAATCGACCTAACTTTTGTTAACCTGAATTTGTTCCACAGTGTTATTTAGAGTCTCCTCATTGCAAAAAAATATAAGATTAATTAAAATTAGGTTTGTTCCACAAGCTGCTTGTAGAAAAACTCGATCAAAGTGCAAAATGTCAGCGTATATCAAATAAACTCTAAAACCTACTTGAGGAACGCGTATGTGTAAGTCGAAGTGACTTCGAGTAGCTTGTGGAACAAACCTATTACATATGTCTTACTGGAATCACCGATGTCAACACATTCCTATATAATTTATTCTACTACCCTGTCCTACCACCCTGTCTAGGTTTGTTCTCACTAGGCAAATACATACATACATTGCGCGTCGATTTTGGTAGACGCGATTAATGTAATATATATATATTTAAAAATTACTTACTTTTTATTAAAATAAGTTAAATAATTAATTTAGCGTACAAAAATAAACGATTTTCCTTTTATTTAGTTTATCCTTAAATTTTACGAGCCTTGCGAAACTAACTATTTGATATTTAAAACAAATATACGTTTTTGAAAGTTCACCCAAATACAAGCTTTTTGATATATAGCAAAAACCCTAAATTTTTTACAAAGTTTTTCTTTTATTTAATTTTTTTGACCCGTTATAATTTAAAAGTTGGTAAAAATCCTGTCAGGTAGCAAAGAGAAAGTTTTAGACTTAAGGTCAATGTAGGTCAATGTAGGATAGTCGATACATATATAAAATAGAACGTACGTGGCATCTATTTATTGGCTTGGGGTCTACTGAACATCGTGTAACCATTACGCTATTTTTTGGAGGTGTGACCATTACGGATTAATGCAGATTTTTGCAATCAAAGTCAAAATTTTAATGTTAAAATTTGTTCGCAGTACAATAATATATATTTCGGATAAAGAACTGATCCTAAGGGCACCATGTCTAGTTAACATCAACGGCCGGTTGTTCAATGTCTGGTTAACACAAATCGGAGGTAGAATCTCTAGTTAATTACGACGGCTTTATCGATCACATGTTATATGCATACGGTGACCATTCGTACCGATTTTGGCGGGACAGTATCGATTTAGAGAAAATTGTCCCGCTGAATATTTTTTTTATAGTCGGGACGTATAAGTGTCCCGATTTTTCATATTTGCACCGATTAAGTCCCGAGTTTCAGTGTTTTCTTTATTAATTTAATAAGAGTTTTCCTGTACTCTGGCCCAAAACCAATTTTTCGTAAAAACTTGCCAGCAATTTTGTTATCACAAAGGACATAAAATATAAGGGAGCCATAAATATAGCCAGCATCCTTATTTTCTATGATCTTTGGTTATTTTTTATTCTGTCAAACTGGTACTCTTGCAGTCTATCATTCTGCTCTTAATTTTTTTTATGGGTTTTCAACCGACTTCAAAAACGAAGTTATCAATTTGTCGGAATAATTTTTTTATGTATGTTAACGCATAATTTTGGACCACATTAACAGATTTCTATAAGGAAATATACCTCAGAGGTGGTCCCATTATTAATTTAGTTTAGATCCGTTCATTGGATCGGTAAAAAATTAACGGTACTTTTAAATTTCTATATGAGAATTGAAGTCGGTTTTGTTTTTTGCTTAAAAATTACTTGTATAATTATTTGTATTTTTTTTTGTTTTTTTAATGAAACAATTCTAACTTAAATTAAGTGGAATCGTAAAAAATAACACTAATTCCCCCAAAAAAATCATCGATATGAAAAATACAAATATGAAGGAAACATTTTAACATTCTTTGGCGAATATTTAAGGCTTAATACTTTTTTATGAATGCATAGCTCGTTATCTAACAAAGACCATATAAGTCAAATTTTCAAAATTTGTACAAAAATTAGCAAAATTCGACAAAGTTGCATCAAAATTTTGAGCTCTTCAAATAGATTTCTAAGAGACATTCTGAGTACTCAATTTTGTAGCCCATTCAATTCAAAGTGAAAATTTGAAATAGCTAGGACTTAACGTTAATTTTTGGTATTTTTTTTTGCGGAAGGTGTTGGTACTAGGGCTGTGCGATTAATTGATTACTCAAAATTTTAATTAATCATAAAGTAAATAACTCAATTATTCGATTAATTGGAAATTATGATTACTCAAAAGTTCAGTTACTCGAGTAAGCAAAATTTTTGATTAACCAAAAAAAATAAATATTTGAGTAAGTTGCTTTATGATTAATCAACATTTCGAGTAAAATGAGTAATCAACATTTCAACTCTTTACATATGTATAAAGTAGTTAAAGTTCCTTGATACTTTGAAAACAACGTTTCTGTTTTCAAAAATTAAAACGAAAAATTTTTTTCATATACAGAATGTAAAAAAGAAAATAAGCGTTTTCCAAAGCAAACTCGTTTAACGAGCAAAACAGAAAAGTAGCCAAAACTTCTAAAATGTCTCTTCTCTATTTACATTCTCTCCACCATATATATTGTGTGTATACATTTTTGTGCTAATTATTAAAATTTTTCTCTAAAAAAAGAAGTTATGTCGTTTTATTCTAAACACAAAATTGTAGGTTCGGATTCGAGGCTTTATAAATGTCCCGATTTATGGCCACAGAAATCTGGTCACCGTATACATACATATATGCGTGACGTCGAAATCGTCGATAATGATGTTTAACTGGGAGGTAGTGATAACCAGAACAACCGTCCCTAACTGGAGGTTAAACCTCCGCTGCTTTATATAAGGGTCACCCTAATAATCCAAATCGTGCATATTTCATTCTAAGGCAAAATTCGTTGAGTACTTAAATACAAACTTTCCCAACAAAGTGTTGGCCATTCAACCTAATAAAGGTTCTGTCGCCTTAATATGTATACCCTAGAAAAATTTGTTAATTTTTTTTCCTTTTGCTGAAATAGAGAACTGCATTATGAAAATTTTTCTTAACTTTTGACTTTCATTTGCCTTGTATGCCCCTGAATTGCAATGATCCTTAAAAGAGAAAATGTTTGATACAACTGCATTGAATTATCCTTTAAATAATGCAAAGAGCATTCACTTTCTTGGAAATATTTATAAAAATTTTGGTTTTGATTGCAAAAACCACAATAACTTTGTTTAGGTCAAAAGAGTGTATCAAAGAAATGTTAATTATTTTATTCTGCACCAAATTATCGAAGCATTTTTTCCTATGACAATTACTTCGAAAGATACAACCAAATAATTTAATCTTTTTTAGTCCGTTTTTGGCTTCAGGCCCTCGGGACCTGACATTTTTCCACTAGAGATGTTCTTTTTTTTTACGAATAATAATACAATATGCATGGTAATTTACAAGGTTTTACTTTTTTGGCGAATTGTAATTTTGTTTAGATCCGCTCATTGGATCATGAAAAAGAGGTGCTCTTAAATTTGTTTATGATTATAATTACTGGTTAAGGATTATTAAGAGCATTTTGTTATTTTTTAAGGTAATTTTTTGTTCGCTTTAGCTCACCAAAATCCAAGCCTCGGTAATTATGAAGCGCGTCATTTATTCTTAACAGGCAGGAGGTGAAATAAAAGGAAGAAACGCAAAATTCAAGATCAGCTATGAAATTGTAGAGCTTTTAAATGGCTTCTCGTGACTTATTTGTATTTATACATATTAATAATAATTTTTTTTTTTGATTCTTACCACGACTTGCTTGTTAAAAACAATCTATCGGTTTCCAATTCTGTTTCGGCCTTCAATTTTTCTACACCAATTTGTTTTAAATCTTTACCGGTATTGCGTTTACATATCCAATTAACAGCTGATAGAGCTTCATCATGTTTACCCAAAGATAACAGGACTTTGGGGCTATCTGGCAGTAGCAANTTGTATTATATGTTATTTGGAAACAAATTCAAAATTTTTACCGAAAATCCTTTTACTCTAAGCTACATATATTTTTTGTCCAATAAAGAGAAAAGATTTGCAACATGGATCCTAAGTTTTAGCATATTTATTCTGAACTGAAATTGGAGGCATGAACCTGGGGGGAACTTTATTTTCATAAACAGTGTCGTTGTGATGGTTAGATGGTGTGATTCTCCATCCGGTCCAGCCATTTCAAGCTGATTCAGTAAATTCAGATCTTTACAAGTGTTTTGTTCGTTACACATTTATCATATAAAATTACGGATCTAACCCATTAGACATTCGATAAATATCATAAGTAACAGTAAATACTTAAATTAGTAAAAGAAAAATATTTTTTAAACAAGCTTTCTAAATATGAGCCAAATCGGACTACAAATACAAGGTAAACTAATTCACAACATAGATGCAGATTTGCAAAAATTATCAACACTCGCACCACCTACCGGCTAATTTGTTTGTGGAGTCATTTCCCGACACTTAAAAAAACAATAGACGCTTTTAAAAAATATGAACCAAACCGGATTAAAAAACGGGATTTTCAAATATCTCGCCACCCAGCGGGTTAATTTATCGCTCATTAAATTGTCATCGGGTTCTGGGCTACGTTTTAAGTTTAAGTTCTAGCTCCTCGGGAAGTTAGTCAAAAATCGACATAGCAACTTAAATAAAATATTATACAAAAACACGAATGGTTAATATTAGGGATGTTAATTTTTCATCTTCTTCCGATCCCGGGATTTTCGGGGTGTCGTTATCACAATTTCAACAACTTAAATCGAAAAAATTGCGTCTATATTGTTTGAGAAGCTCTCCTACCATAAAATAAATAATAAATAAATGGGTTTGAAACCTACTTTTTAATTAAAGTGGCGTTTTTATTTTTTCTCTCTGACGTGAGGATTTATTTTAAAGGACTTTTGTAATTTCAAACATATCGTCGTTTAAAGTACAAAACCGCGTATCAACAAAATGCAAAACCGCGTATCAAGAAAATGCAAAACCACGTATATGAGGTTGAATAAATTATTTTTTAGAGAGTAAAAACACTCATATTTCACAATGGTTCTCTTTTTTATAAAGAAATCGCATTTCTGGCTAGTATATTTCAGGACGAATGGATAAGGATTGAGCCAAGAGCTTCTGTGAGCAAATTCAATTTTTGGCAGCCAATGTCAGTTACGCGGTTTTGCAGAATGACGATACGCGGTTTTGTACTTTAAACGACGATATGATTAATTCCAAAAATTATTTTAAAAATTCAGTGCAATGTAGAATAAAATTATGGGTACCAAATACAAGAGAAAATCTCTTTAGAATTTAAAAACATAAAAATTTTTTGGATTCACAAGAACGAATAGGTAAAGCGGTTAAAGTTAGAAGGACGAAATTTGAGGACGTTATCGAGTTTATATCAGTCCTTAACATTTAATTTTTTTAAAAACAAATATTGCGAAATTTCAAGGATAAAATTTTAAAAGGACATTTTCAATACTTACCAGTCCTTCTGCATCAAAAACTTGAATCTATTTAAATTCGACAGAATTTCATCTTTAATTCGATACCCATACTTCTTGTCTAAGCACATTTCACTGAATTTTTTAAATGATTTTTGAATTGCTGATGTCAGAGTGAAAAACTATACATATTTGGCCCATGGTTTCACGAATATATTGATTTTTGTGTGTAAATTTACTATCGCACGGTTTTATATGTATAATGAGCTAGACATTTATAAAAAAATATTAGTTATTAAATTTAAAAAAATATATACATATATAGCCAATAGTGATCAAGAAAAGGAGTTTCTATTATTGCCATCATTGCAAATTACAAATCCCGAATTATTTGCCAAGCGTTCCGGGATATTCGAAACCTTAAAAAGGCCGGGATGCCGGGATTAGCATTCCTAATAAATACATATGGCACCCTACAGTACTCCTATTATCTAATTTCTTGCAACGTTATAACTTAGTGTACTAGGCTTAACTGACTTATTCCTTTCTGAGAAGTGAAGCGCTTAATTTGTACGAGGTAAGAGCGAAATATTCTTCTTTGGAGGTAAGCGCACCGATTAGTGCATATTTTTTATAGGTGTAGATACTTCTTTTTTAATTTTTGCAAGTTCTTAATGAAAATTTTGAATTTAAAATATGTAAAAAATCTCGATTGAGAAGAGTCTTATTAGCAACAACACAAAAACCTGTTCTTTACCTAAAACAACACAATTCATTACAATAAACTGCTTAATTTTCCGAGTTTGAAATTTTGCAATTTATTCAAAAAGCCTTAAAAATAAGCTCACATTTTCCGATTGAAGGGGTATTATTATTATTTGAGGGTATACTAGCGCTGCGGTCTACTGCATATAGTGGCTCCAATACGTGTTAATTTTTTTAAATATTCATGATGTTTTTCAAGTTAAATTTTTTTGTTTCTTTTCTACACAAATATTGTTCAAGCTTTAACCAAAACTATACAAATCACAATTTCCAACTTTATAAACAATTTAAGAAAATTCAACAAATTTTCACCAAAATTTCAACTTTTTAATTTGAATCTTTGGAACATTTATGGGGAATGAAGTTTTATAGCGCATACCATTTTGTGTAAGTTTCAGACGGCTAAAAAATCCCGTTGATTTTTGAGAACTTTTTTTTTGTGACGGATTTTTGCGCTTTTTTCCATATAAACAGTAATTTTTTATGAAATAAAATGCAAATGTTCGCAACAAAATTTTAAAAAATCAACGCCAGTTTATGTAAATTGCACTTGTTATATAAAACAAAAACGCAAAAGCTATCTCAAAAAAAAACGTTCTTGAAAGTCAACGGGGTTTTTCAGCCGGTAGAGACTTGCACTTCATTACACTAAAATTGTATGGGCTATAAAATAGAGGTGGAGAAAGATCGATGTTTTCCATGTTTTGAAACAACATGTAACATCGATTGTTTTGAAAAAAACTAGGGTGGAAAAAGTCGAAACTAAGTTGATACTTAAGGTTAGTTGTAGCTTTTCTGACATAAAACCCACTAAAAATTATGTCAAAAAGCCGCAACTAACTTTAGGTATGAATTTAATGAATGACTATGAATACGACCCAATAGGTTTTTAATATATATTTTTACAAATGAAATAAGTCAAACCGATTTTTTGTGGAGCTATTTCCTTTCATAAAGTATTGTACATTCCAAATACGAGCCATATTGGACCAAAAATATGGGGTTTTCAGATATCTGGACACCTGAGTCATCTGGCGGAAGTTGGGTTTAACATAAACCTCTTCGAAAGTATTTAGATTTTTGCTTGAACATGTTATAAACTAGAAATTAATATAATTTCATAAGTTCATACTTTTTGGGTATCTCCTTTAAATCGTCGTTCTTTACATTCACAGAAGAGTACAAAGGAAACATCGATAGTCACCATCAACCATCGATGATTAACAAAAGCGCAAGAACATCGATGCATCGACAGTACTATCGATGTTTTCTCCACCTCTACTGTAAGACAGCATACCCAAAAATGTTATAAAGATTCAGATTAAAAAGTTTAAAATTTGTTGAATTTTCCCAAATTGTTTATAAAGTTTTAAACTGTGATTTATGGGGTTTTGATTAAAGCTTGGATGGTATTTTAACAGAAAAATAACAAAAAAATTTGCTTGTACCACATTACGAATATTAAAATAAAAAATCAACGCGTAGTCATTTGTTTCAGCCGCTGTATATATGTATGTAGATCTATGTACGGTGCTAACCCAATATATGTTTACTCCAACCTTAAGCTATTTAAGAAATTAAGCACTATGGAGACTAGAAGCTTTGGTCTATGATACGTGGGCAGTCGGCTTATGATCATCCAGCCAACAGAATCTGCATAAAGTCTCATTTTGCAAAGATGCTATATATCTCAATTTCTGTAGGCTTGACTATTTTTTGCCCCTCGCCACTCGGCGGCAATCTGCGAAACCTCCCTTCCTTAGCAGCTGTACTGTGTATCCTTTTGACGGACCACGAAAAGGCTGTGGGCCATATAGGCTGCTTTGGGTACGAGTATTGTTTATTTCAGAATTTTACTTTGTTATATCTTCTTCATTCTCGGAAGACATTTTGTTCACTGTTTTGCTTAAACTTTTCTAATTCACATAATTTTTACTGTTATTTGGTCCCTTGCATTATTTCAGTACATATTTCACATGGTTTTTTAACTAGATTTTTTTCTTGCCAAATCATTGCGTTTTTTTTAGTATCAAATTTTCTTATTTAGAGCTACTAACTTTATTTTACAGCAATTTGAAACACGATTTTTTAACGTACAAAATAAAGGACAGCCCTCCACATACCCGCAAAACTAGACGCATTCATTATGGCCTTATCAATCGCAGATGTAGCAAAATCGCATTGTGAAGCGATCGTTATGATGCTCATGCCGACTGTTTCGTCGATAACCACCATCAAAAGCAAGCCGCACACCAGCAGTATTATCCATTGCGCACAACCGAAACCTTGCAGATGGAAAATGAAATTATACACACACATGTTCAAAATAAAGGACACGCTTAACCACCCGCCCCCATGCACACCTATCATATCGAGCACAGCTTCATACTCATGTTGCTGCAGTTGTGTATCCTGTGGCGCACTAGTGGCTGGGCATCTTGTAATTTGCTGTGTGCTTGAAGCATTTTCCTCGCTTGTCGTTAAGTTTCCCCCTATATTCAACACAGTAGGTAATTTTGATTCACAAGGACCTTCGGCGTTCGTCGCCATTATTAAGTTAGCTTTGACTTTTACTGGCGTAGGTATGTATTTGTAAAAGAAATTGTTTAGTGAATATCACTTTGTATTAGAATGCAACTAGCATACACTTAATTAGATGCAATACATAGTTTATAGCAGAATCACTTGATTTGTAACGGTTATCGTTTCCGTAGCCACATACTGCCAATTTGTAACTGAACTAATAGCAGTGAATTCTACCAGTCTTATCAAATGTTGCCCCCGCTTTGTATACTCGTACACATACTTATGTACATAAATACATACGTCGCCGCACAAGTGTTTCAAGATGTACATACTAATGTATATATGTACCATGTAGTTTCACTCTAAAAATATATGTAACTATTTATAACGGCGCGAACTTTTACAAATTCTCTGTTACTCAATTGAGAATCAGGCATTCGTTCAGAATGAGCAAAAAGGATGGTTGTTAGCCTTATCAAATTAATCGAAGTTGATATTGATTTACATTTTTTATAAGTAGATACATATGTACATTAGGGTGGTCCAAAAATGTATGTTAAAAAGTAAAGTCGGAATTTTTATGCTCTCACTCCCTGGGATTGTTCTATATCGACAAAAATTTACCCCTACTTTTTATTTTGAAATCAAAAAATATTTAGAGGGCGCTCAAAGCGTCCAAAGTTTGCCATGTACTTTAATGGGGAAAAACAACTTTTCGCAGAAATGGTATATAATTCTTAAAAATCAATATTTTTCTATCGGAAAACTCCGTTTATCTGCAGGAGATTCCCAATAACAATACCCAATTGTTTATTTAACCATTTTTTATCGCAATTAAATAATAATTTATCGGTCCGCCAAAAACCCACAAAAACCCCGAAAAATGCAACGGGGGGACAAATAAAAAATCGTAAGTATTAAAAAATGGTTAAATAAACTATTGGCTATTATTATTGAAAGTCTCCTGAGGAGAACCAGAGTTTTCCGATCGTAAAATATTGATTTTCAAGAATTCTATACCATTTCTACGAAAAATTGTTATTTCCCCATATAAAAATACATGGAAAACTTTGAGCGCCATCTAAATATTTTTAGATTTCTAAATAAAAAATACGGGATATACTTGTTTTCAATATAGAACAATCCTAGGGGGTGAAAACATTACAATTCCGACTTTACTGTTTTTGTACCACCCTAATGGGCATACGTACTTTAAATTACAACAAGCAGCTTATGCTGATGATGTAGCCATTACCATCTCTGATAGATGTCTAAGCTCGATCAGTGAAATTCTCTAGGGGATATTGAGAGGAAATTATACACAACTCGACTACAGATGTGTGCTCCAAGTAAATCCAGAAATGTGGGCCTTTGTACTTTTTACGACGAGTATAAAATGCCATCCTCGTGTCCACGAGTGGTGAATGAGAGAGCTTTTTTTAAGACTTTCGTACTAGAATAACAAAAGTCTTTCGAACTATCTTGCCATCTGTCTTACGAAAGACTTTTTACTATCTCTTTTTCCCCCTTACCTAGATCCGCCAATGACATCTTAGTTATAGAACTTAAATAATTTATTAACAATCTCATTCTTAGATGCGTATGCAGCCCTTTCCGTTATCATGTTACATACCTAACCCCACGTCTCCATTTTCTATTAAATGTGTCTTAACATCTGTCAAACTTCTGTTTTAACTTTGTTCCGCTCTCTCATGTGGGCAACTTGCTGTCTTAACATATCACTTTCAAAATGGCATTAAGACAATCAGATCAATCTGTACCCAATTTAGATGGCGCGGTAAAATGAAAACTGAGTTGTGAACCAACCAAATGACAGCTGATGTTAAGACAGCGATGGTAAGAAATTCGGCAAGTCAGATATGGTTTAACAGTGAAAATTTGCGGTATCCGTATGACATTTCTGTCTTAACACAGCTTTTTTAACAGAATCTGTAGAAGGTGGAGACGTGGGTAATAACATTACGAAAGACAATACCAAAGATTGATTCGCATGTTATTCTATTCGTTATCATAGTTTTAAAATCTGGCGTAGTGTCGGTTTTTAAGATCATCAAATTTCAAATTACCCTGTACCGACAAAAAATTTCTCACTTCAAGAAATAAAATCTTATCGCACATGTATAGGCAAAGGTTTTTATTTCGACTTGAAAGTTGAAAGAACGGTGCAAATCTAATGACCGTAACAAAAAATTCCTTCTCGAATATTACGTATATATACTTAGTTAGGACGGTGTTACTTTTCGAAAAGCTAGCAAGCCTGATCAAAGTTATTTTTAAACTTAAGATCTCTTTCGACTGACACGCATATTTTAATATTTCATAATTCATGTATATAAATTAGCTTAATTCGGCTATTAAAACAGGTGTACATCCATATGTATGTATAATTTCAATTAACTGATGATTTAAGTTGAATTTGATTTTTGAAACACGTGGCAACCCACTAAAAACCCATTGCCGTTGATACCCACCTTTAAATAAGTCATCCAACTTATTAAATAATTTTAATGCCACTGTTTAAACATGTGGCAATCCTCAACAAAAATTCTGAATGTCCAAACTAGAGATTTCTTTCGCTTGACGCCCGTATTTTCATATTTAAAATAGTATGCGTATAAGTGAGTTAAATTCCAGTTTTTAAAAAGGTGGCAACCCTCTTCAAGAGTAGTTTAAAGCTAAAGCTAAAAGCGATTTCTCAACAAGTTAACTAAGTCCGAATTTTCAAAAAGGTGGCAACCCTCTTCAAAATGTTTGCAAATTACTACGTTCTTAAAATTTATCGTCTGGCGCCCATACACAATTCTATTATCTGATTCCCTTAAATCAAATTGCATTTAATTTCTTAAAAAGGTGGCAACCCTCCTGTAGTTAAGTTATGAAACAAAGCCTTTTTTTAATAATTGGTTTAACTTTTTAAAAATTTTGAGCTTAATTTTTTAAAAGGTGGCAACTCTTCAAAAAAGTTAAACCCTATTGCACATCTTCAGTCCGAGTCCTTTACTTTGACATCTCACTTTTGAAAATCGAACGAACGGTACGGATCTGATGGTATTTATTATTAAAAAATTTGAATTTGATTATTCAACAGGTGGCAACTCCTTTAGAAAAAATAAACCCAGTTTGCAGATCTACAGGCCAAGCGCTTTTATTTGACACCCCAGTTTTGAAAATCGAACGAACGGTACAGATAATATTCTGAACAAAAAATGCCTTCGCGTGTTATATATAGGTTGGTTTCAAAAGTTTAATTAAGTCAAGTTAGGCAGCTTCCTATTTCTCTTAAATGAAATCTGTATTTCTATAAATTATTTTTGTATTTCGATAAATTATTTTTTACATTGTAATAAAAGCGAGTTTTTAGTTTTTTATACTATCAGGCATGTTCTGATATTCGAAAATTTGAAATCGACTCGATTTCGATAATTTTTTCAATGGTTTTTAAACTAAAAATTTACAAGTCTCGCATGAAAATGATTTATTTAATACCACTGCTGCTTCTTTAGAGTTTATATATTATTCCCTATTTTCATCGGATATAATTAAAAAATATTTGGCAAATCGAGTCGATTTCAAAGTTTCGAATTTCAGAATATGCCTGCATAATTTTATTTCTTCTCGCAGCTGAAACAACGATAATAAGCATTAGGCTATAAATCGTTTAAATGGGGATACAAACTATTTACTTTGTCACTTAATGAGAGCCTATCGTAATAATATGTACTCATCATAAAGTTCACAAGCTAGTTTTCAAGTAGGTATTTAGGATTTTTTTTTTTTCAATTTTGTCACATACAAGACAATCTGCTCACTTTCAATAACTTATTACATATGTACACATGCTTACAAATGGATTGCAACTAAGAGGAAATATTAAATAAGCACACCAATGTACAGTGGGCCAGAAATCAAGTAAAAGTGGCCAAAAATGAGGCATCGAATTTGATTCTAATCATTTTATTTTCGATTTATAGATAAATAGATAGAAGAAGTTGAAGAAAAAATTTTTATAATAGTTTAAGAAGTTTTATATAAGCAATCGAGAAATTTAAACAGTCGAGAAATAGTGTACAGGTACGAATTTCCAACGTTATCACTACATCCTTACTAAGTGTTTTTGAAAAATACCAACTATTTTCGTAGTACGCGTGTTTTTTTTTTAATAAAACTTGGCCTAAAGGCAGAATTTATTTTGCTCTACTGTTGTACGGATCAAGTGAATGCGTAAAAAATAGTTTTAATTGTTTTGATCAAATATGTATAAATATGTATACAATCGACTTTTATATATCATGCATCTAGAACCTTATCGAAAACCTACCTGAAAATCGAAAAAGTTACCGTCTTTAAAATTGGCACTTGCCACGATTTTGAAATTCACGTATTCTAACTTGGGAACTTGGGATATTGAGGGGAAGTTGCTAATTCTTGCTAAAAAGAATTTTACCAGCTGCAATTTGTCAGCAAAAAAACAGCTGATCAAAGTAATCTGTTTGCAATTAGTAGTTGTAATTAGAAGTGCAAAACTATCGATAGCACTATCGATAGTAACGAGGTTTTTTTATTTTTCGCTTATATCGATTATTTTTGGTCCTATCGATAGTCCTACAGACATGTGATTCAGTATTTATTCTAGTTTTAGTTCTTCTTTTCTAGTACGGGTACCTCCTTTCATCAAATAAACAGTCAAGGCATTCGCGCCTTGGCACTCACATCACTGTTGACAGTTATAATTTCGAGAAAGTAGAGAATTTCGTTTACTTGGGAACCAGCTTGTACACTAGGTTGGTCGAAAAATGCATGTGAAAAAGTAGTCGGAATTTTATGCTCTCACCCCTTAGGATTGTTCTATACCGAAAAATATACCCTTATTTTTTTATTTGGAAATCAAAAAATATTTAGAGGTTGCTCAAAGCGCCCAAAGTTTTCCATGTATTTTATATGGATGGATGGATGCGAATATCTAACAGCTAACAGCGGATGCGGATGCGGATGCGAATGCGGATGTCAACTATTTTTAAGAAACAAT